AGCAGAGTCACTGAGAGGAGCTCAGAGACATGGYCAGTCACAAGATCTGGAGGTTGATGGAAAAAAATCTTGCATTAAGTGAGGCAGTTTGAGTAAAGCAGACATGGTGCATCTTTTCAAAGCATCATGCTAACTTCTGGGTGTCTGAAAACAGAATTGAGATGGGAGGACTATCAAGGCACCAGGGAAACTCTGGGGAACTAGTCACTCCTGTGTTGGAGATGTTGGTCACTTCCACTGGTGTATGAGCAGGGGAAATAGTGGAAGTGTTTGGATGCTGYACACATTTTGAAGATGGAATTTGCAACACTTCCTAATGAACTTAACTGGAGTATGAGAAAGAGGAARTAAGAGAACACCAAAAATTTGTAACACTGTAATCAGAAAGATAAGAGTTATATCAATTGAAGAAGGGAAGATTGTCAGGAGTATATGTGAAAACAGGACTTTGTGGGCACTCAGTGGAGATTATTGAACTGAGGTGTTCAAATTGCTATATGCCAACAGCTGATAACCAAAGTGCTCTCGGCAGACTCAAGGGCTTGATGTAAATATGCATCTTTTGCTTGAATGGTATCAGTCTGGGACAGGTGTTGTAGAAGTGCCGTTGCTCACTCTCACGTTCTGTATATGTCTTCTGGATTGGTAATAAATATTTCACAGTCTGGTGCTAGTGCACTTAGTACACATTTGAGTAGCATTGCTGTAGACAGAATAGTGTTCCAGCATATGCCCTGGTGTCAGATCTACAGCAGGAAGGAATCAGCAGTTCCTGGTAATTAAAATTTTAGTAGTGTGATATTGCTCCTTTCCCTAAAATCAGCTAGAAAGAAGACATAAAACAGAAGAAGCATCCAAAAGTAGAGAAGTAAGATAACAATTATTTAGCTCAAAATATAAATGTTGACAGAAATTCACAAAAAACAAAGTTGCTCTCATCCCAAGGCATTTGCACAAACTGGAAAAATCTTTGATTTTTTTTTTTTAGACTGAAGGTATAGTACTGTGTTAGATATCTGTCAGTGTAGCCAAATACCTGAGGTAATTCACTTATAAAAAGAAAAAGTTTTACTATGGCTCACGGTTCTGG